TTTTCAATTAAAATACAACGTTGAATGATTTATTACCTTTAACATGGGATTTAATAAATTAACCTAGTAGAAATTACTTTTTAAGTAAAAAACAACCTCAAACGATTTAAGAAAATTTAATTGAGAAACTAATTGAGTAAAAAAATGTAACAATTATTGAAATTTGAAGTATTGAAATATATATATAAAATATGGACAGGTATTGTAAACATTATGGATTCCAATACAAAGGATCATAGCAGTAAAGGAATCTAAACAATTAAAACACTTGAATTGATAACGACAAATACAACGGAGACAAAATAATCACAGAAGGAGTACAGCTCAATGCAGAGATAACAACTGGGGATCTCCCAGGATACCGTCCTGTAGTCCCAAATGTAAATATCCAGTGGATCTCCCGGGTGTCGTCCCGTAGTCCAACTCATAGTGCGCGTGGATCTCCCGGAATACCGATCCGTAGTCCCAAATATAAATACACAGTATTTAGGGAATCTACCGGGTGCAGTCCCGTAGTTCCAATATAAAAGTGCAGGGGGATCTCCCGAAATAACCATCCGTAGTCCCAAAGTAAACATGCAGGGGGATCTCCCGGGATACCGTCCCGTAGTCCCAAAGTAAACATTGCAGGGGGATCTCCCGGGATACCGTCCCGTAGTCCCAAAATAAACACACAGCAGCAACACGAAGAATATTCAAAAACAATCCAACAACCCATTCACAAGGAATTCCACCACAAGAGTATGAATACACGACAACAAGAGAATCACAGAAAAACCAAGAAGCGCAATAATCTTAACAAAACAACAAGGCATATCATGCATGTGATAACTACACCGGCAACCACAACAATTTGGACACATAGCATATGTACACGGGGTCATAAAGTAATTTACAATTTAGAGATAACAAACGATAAGAAGAACAATCGCTTCAATTAAGGCAAATAAGGCCAAGTAACAAGTAAGAGTTAGAGGGAAGCTAACAACATCGTATGGAGCATATAGAGGTAAATTAAGCAATTAGGAAACTCAATCATAATGGAATACTTCTTACATAATGAACATAAGGACCTAAGAACCTTAAAGGCAAATTTCCCACAAATAAGTCCGATCACACACTCGTCACCTCGCGTGCACGGACTACAAATAGCATAGAAAACTCAAATCCTAAGGGAGAAGTCCCCCACACAAGGTTAGGCAAGATACTTAACTCAATCCGGCCAATTCAATACTCAATTTAGCTTTTCCTTTACCAATTTATCGATTCTCGGCTCAATCTAGCCAAAAATGACTTGAATATATCAAACAATGCAAGAGAAAACAATTTCAATTGAAAAACTATGATTCTTATACAATTTGCAAAAAGTTAACTCCCCGAGCCCACACCTCGGAATCCGACAAAATTTACAAAAACCGAACACCCATTTCGCTACGAGTTCATCCATATAAAATTATCTAATTCTGATACCATTTGGTCATTCAAATCATCATTTTACATTTTTGAAAGATTTTACAATTTTCCCCAAATTTTCCTTTAGATTCTCATGAATTTGATGTTAACTCTAAGATATAATTACAAAATATAGTTGAAAATTGATTAGAGACACTAACCCAATGATTTGAAAAAGTTTAGGTCTTTGAAAAATCGCCCATGGAGGTTTAGGGTTTGAGAAAATTGAAAAACGGGTGAAAATCTCGTCAAAAACCTCACTTAACAGGCCTCAGATGTCGCATTTGCGGCCCGGGGTTCGCAATTGCGAACCCTCGCAGATTGCAAACAAATCAAGGCTGGCAGAAGTCGCATTTGCGACAAAAAGTTCGCATTTGCGAACTGGGCATCACAAATGCGATGTAAAAGTTCGCATTTGCGAACACACCAGAAACCAGCAATATTTTCCGACACGAAAACGAGCATAACTTCCTCATACGATGTCCAAATTCGATGATTCTTTTTCCTATGTCTCGGTAATTTCGATACGGATCTAATGGTTCAATAAAAACTAAATTTGGATCTCATTTGCTCAATGTGGTATTATTTTTGCTTGAAGAAACGACGATGAAGCATCCAAAAACAAGCACAACATAGCCTAAACCTATCCGAAACTCACCCAAGCCCTCGGGGCTCCAAACCAAACATGCACGCAAGTCTAAAAAGATCATACGGACTTGCTCGTGCGATCAAATCGTCAAAATAATATCAACAACTACGAATTTAACCTCAAAACTCATGATTTTCTCAAGGACACTTATATTTTCTAATTTTTTTTCAACCGGACGTCCAAATCACGTCAAAACAATTCCGGTTTTCACCAAATTTTACAAATAGGACTTAAATATCATAACAAACTTGTACCAGGCTCCGGAACCAAAATACGGGCCTGATACCAACAAGTTCAAACATTAATTCATTTCTTTATTTCCTTTAAAAACCAGCACAACAATTTTCTTCAAAAATTATTTTCTAAGGCTAGGGACCTCGGAATTCAATTCCTGGCATACAACTAAGTCCCATATTTTACCGCGGACCTCCCGGGGTCGTCGGAACACAGATCCAGGTCCGTTTACCAAAAATATTGACCAAAGTCAACTAAAACCAAATTTTCAACTCTAAAAATTTTCTATTTCTCATATTTTCACATAAAAGCTTTCGGGTTTCACGCCCGGACTGCACACGCAAGTCGATACACATAATATGAAGCTGCTCGTGACCTCAAACTGCCGAACCGGCCGCAATTGCTCAAAACGATCAGTCGGGTCGTTATAGGAAGATTTTTTCCGTGGCTATTTCGCTGATGTGGAAGATATCACCGGTTTGGGTGATTTGGTATACCAAGGAAGGGCTCGAACGAGGCTTCCTCGAGCTACACAGTGACTAACCAATTCCGGGCTCCCGGCATTGACCCTTATTGAAAGCGGCCTCTTATCATCTCGATCTCGAAAGATGCACAAGTTTTATCTGCCCCCATAGGGGTGGCAAGTTACCTTCGACTCTTGGTCGCTGAGGAGGATCAAGCAAAAATGAATGAAGTGGATGTTGCGTGCTTGTTCAACGAGGCCCAGCATGCTCTGAATCGGGTATGTTCAAGGAACATTGTCTTTTCTTGACTTTTGACTTGTGGATATCTCTAATATTTCTTCCTTTCTTGTAGGCTTCAGTGTTGCACCACGAGGCCTTTCTTCGAGCCCGAGAGGAACACAAGATTGAGGTACAGGGTCTCACTGAGAAGTGCAACACTTACAAAATTCTCAGTGAGAAGCTTCAGGTTGACCTGGTGGAGGCTCGTAACGTGCATGAAGAGATGGCTGAGCAGGTATTCCGAATTCTTCACGATAGTGGGAACGAGTCGGAGATAACGACTAACAATCCCATTCTGCAGGCTCGAACATATCAAAGGATTTCAAGGGCAAATAGATGAAGTGCGAGATGAAGCCGATCGATTCAAGGGATGTATTGGCTGCACAAAGGAGATCGTTGAATCACAGCTGGATTCTGCCAAGTCACAGCTATGATATGCAAGGGACAATGCCTCGGTCCAAGCGAAGAAGTTCGAGGAGCTCGAATCCAATTTAGCCAATCCGGCCAAGGAGCTCGAGGTTGCCAGATCCAAAGTGGCCGCTGCCAATATTAAGGCTCAGGCTACTACGGATCAATACAAAGTTGACGCAGAAGCCACCCGAGCAGGCTAGGGGCATGGTTGATAATTCGAAGTGGCAGGCTCAAAGGGAGGTTCTCAAGGGGATCCCGTATCTACTGAACTCGTGGTCGCCAAGGCATAGGAAGCAAAGGCTCGGAAGTTAGCGCTTACCGATGAGGCCGGATCCGACAGAGATGACTCATTGGGCGAAGAAGCTTCTCCCAAAGATGACTAGGCCTTTAGGATTAGTAGTGTTTCTTTTTAAAGATGTTTTGGCCTTTATAAAGAGTTTTTGATTGGGCCATGTGGCCCTTGCAAGAAAATTTTTGATATAAAAATTTCCCTTTCCTATCTGAATCTGTCGCTTGCTTTGTCTTTGTTTTATTGACGCCTTACGAGGTTGTATTCATAGATTCGAGGTCTAGGCAATTTTGGACCGAAACCGAGCTAGTGTCGAGTGAGTTGAACTCGAAGTAAGGTAACCCTTAGGTTTTTATTGAGTGAGGATGATTCCTCGAACTCAAAGCAAAAGATTGCCCTTAGGATTTTTGTATTAGGCCGATCTGGCCTTTGTAGAACGATCATTTTAATATGTGTTATACCCCATTTTAACAAGGGTCAAATTAGAGTACAACATATTGGTAAATTTGAGGTTTAATTAATTAAAAGAGTCGCCACCTAATTATTTTAATGGTGAATTAGGACACCAATTTTTGCTAAATAATGTTAAAAGTTAACTCCGTTCTATGGTCTACTTAACCTTTAAGGCTACGGGTAAGGGTTCTAATTAACCTTATAGAGAAGGTATTAAGCACTCTATATGACCCATTAAATATGGTTAACCGGCCAAACTTAGGTTAATTATTTTTGAAAATTGTTAAGGCAAAAGTGGTGATAACAATGACTAAAAAGTTCCGAACAACTTGAATATTTTAAAAGAATCCAAACTTCATATTTGAACTTGAAAGTATTAATTAGCAAAATCGATTTTAACATCAGAAAGTAGGCTAAAGTCGTTATTATAATGGAGTGAGAATTGTTTGAGATGCATTATTTTATCTTTGAGAAAAAGCAGTTTCTTACTTAGCGCATAATTCAGTTGAATAATCCATCTCAAACCTATCGAAGGCTTAATATAACAATATTTTTTTCTTGAGTAAAAGAGTCAACTAATTTGAAAAAAAAAGTTTTTCGACTCAATCAAAAAAAAAAGTAGGCTCATCTATCCAAAGATATACGTGACTCAAATTTTGAGTAAAAAATAAAGACTCAACTGACAACTATCCCAAAGTATTGTTGCTGATTTTAAAAGTTATTCTAATAAATAAGTATTTTACTGATAGCTAAATGGATTCCCCAAGTGTCTAAACAAAAATTGTTACCTAAACATATATTAACAGAATTCCAAATTAAAATAATCAAATCATAGAAATCATTAGTTAGTCTAAAAGATTCAAACAAAATAAATGCTAAAGACGAAGCCGCCATAGGCGACCCCAAGCGTTTTGCTTGTTCTCTTACTATCGGGTGCATTCTAAGGAGGATGGTATGGGATGCGATGACTCCATGCTCGGGTAGTGTTGAGTGAGCTCTATGAGACTTCATTGCAAGAGTCTCGAATTAAGACTCCATAGGTTGCGCTTTCCACTTCTTTTACATCATTCTAAATTAGAAAATATAAGATACCCTCTACCTAATAGCTGAACCTCTAAAGCAAAAAGTATGTAGGTGCGTACAGATGCTTCATTCTTAGATAAAAGAAGATTTATTTCCAACTAAATATTCTAAAAATCCTGTGAGCATGATGTCTAAAAAAACTTAAAGCTCCTATAGACAAGATATCGAGTCCTTCTGAAATTGACATTATGACAATGATAAATTTTGTGCGCAGACCAAAAATGAGTAACAAAGTGACTGGTTCGAAGTGACATAGTGATTAATGAACTCTATATAGAATCTGCCGAGTTTCAGAGCAAAGTTATGAATTACATCCGAATTTTCATATAACCAAAATCAAGAAAAACTCAATTCCAACTTTACACTTATAGGATATTTAACTAAGTTTACTGAAAATAAATTATGCCTCCTAAAACTCGGCTACGCTATAATTAGCTCCTCCCATTTTCTACTACTGGAAAGCAACAAGAAAAGGTACATTAACATTTCAACAAAACATGTTTCTTTCACATAAATAGAGATCTCTTAACTTGAAAAAAAAAAGAATCCTAGAACATGCTACTAAACCCGCAATAAAGGACCTGGGCAGATACTTTTAAAAGAACTAACATACTTCCTAAGAGTTCTATAATATAAAAGGAAAACTATGGGATATGATATATCATAAGTAGATTTTAACTTTATCAGGTCAAGGTCCAAGGTTCATGATTTCTATATTAACAATATACAACTTTTAATGATATGACCCTATTCTGACACAATAATAAGTTTTGAAAGAGAAAAATACTTTCAAGCAAGATGTCAAATGCAATAGAAAATCTCGACAAATAAAGACCTAGAAAATGATATCTAGGTTATAAATAATTAAAAGAAAAACTATTAAGTTAACATGTAAGGTTATTCTTAATCAATGAAAGAGACTTTAGAACATGTTCTCAGTGAGCTTTTAAACTTCAATGTGTCCAAGAATAGAATACTTGCCAAGGGCCTCTAAACATGATTTTTAATTTTATCAAAGTAAAAGATTTTAGCCTAGCAGCAAAGTTCGGCAATGTCAATGACCAGTCATTAGTTCACATAAGCATATTAACAGACGGTTATCCTTCATGTTTTGGATAGCAATTTCTTATGACATGATTTCAGCATTCATGTAAATAAAGAAAGGACTTATTGTATGATTTCCAATAAAGCTAATGTGCATAAAATGACAACTTGAAACAGGACAATGTCAGAAATCAATAACAAGCATCACAGATAACTAATCAAATAACAGAAAATTAAGAGTTCATTGATAAATAGATACTGAAACATTAAAACATTATAAATTCCATAAACGAGATAAAAAGAAAGATACCGACCTTTTGTGGTGCAGGAACTGGGGTCACGTCAAGGTCTGTTATCTTCGGCCTCTACTCCGCAACCTCCGCAACCTCGAATGACTGTCAAACTCCAAAACGAGCACGACGATGCCTCTGTTATGGTGAAACAAAACCAATAGAGACTGAACGAAGACGAGCTCTTAGAGTGCGGTTCTAATGAATAAAAATAACCACAAAATCTGGTATTTATAGGTGTAAAATTAGGGTTCTTAGGTAGAGTTTTGAGCAGGAATTTGAGGCTTGAATCGAGTAAAAAAATGCCCGTTTGAAATTCAAGCGTTGGAGGGCCTGGATCTTCACGTGATTCTTCAGGTACGGAAAGATCAGATTTTCTGAAGAGAACTTTTGGCTCGTTCTGAATCTCTCTTGTTTGACTGAAACTTTATGAAGATGAGAGAGATATGAGCGTTTAAAGGATATACAAAAATGGAGGCGCACATATCTGATTTTGGGGGAAGAAGTCTGCAATTTTGTTCAAAGAAGAAGGTGAAGCATTCGGCGTTTTCAGAGGAGAGAGGGAAGGTAGGGGAAGGGTTTCTAGAGAGTTCTCAACGGATATGGGTCTGGCGGGTCGGGTTAAATGTGTTAGCAGATTTAGGCAATTTGGGCTGATTTGGAGGCTTAATTGATGGATTAATTTGGTCGAAATTTTCGGGCCTAGAGTACTGAAGATTTTCCTTCTTCCTTGTATATTTCTTTAAGCTTCTATTTAGATTTAAAATAATTTTATTAGCTATATTATAAAATATTACGTAATATTAATGCGTCAATACTAATCAAACTATTTATTGTACCTTAAAATAATTATGATAGCTAAAATTTGCCAAATAATCTACATTTATTGTGAATAAGAGTAAATATTGTAAAGTATTAAAATAAATACTACTATTTGATTAAATCAAGGAAAGTGATATAATTTTGGCAAAAGACGTTAAAACTGATATTAAAATAAAAGCAGTAACCATAATAACAATAATAACAATATCTTATGCAAATCAAAATGATAATAATAGAGATAATAACAATGATAAAAATAATGATACTAATTAGGTCTATTTTGGGATAACAATGGTAACATAATTATTCTTACATTATTAGTAATATTAGAAGTTCAAGAAAATAATTTGGAAGAAGGAGGGACAAAATTGGATGTCAACAATATGCATAAGGCTTTCTACCCCTTTTGGCTTAAAAGTTAATCACATAAAAATTTGTTATGCCTTAGCATGAGATAAATCTGCATTCATATTCCACTATTTTCGAGGGCTGATGACATCGAAAACCTTTGTTTCGTAATGCCTTAGTATGAAATAGAGAAAATGATTTGGGAGTTCGAATAATTCGGTACCCCTTAGGGTTTTTGAGGGTTGATGTGATCGAAACCCTATGTAATTTTGCCGAGGGTAGCCCTTTTTAAACCGGTTTTATGAAAACATTTGAAGGCCTATTTTATTACGGAATTCGGACATCTCCGAACCGTGTTAGTTTGGCTGTAGCCTTTAACTTGGGATTTGCCTCTTGGGTTTGTTTCCTGATTATACTTCGAACTTGTTCGAAGTGTCAGTCCTCGAGTGGGATGGCCCTGGCCTATAAAAATAAGGGTTGCCTTTTTAAGGTCTTATGATCTCGAGACTTTAATAATTCGATTACGTCGATGTTTCGGACGGCAGTCCCCGAGTATGGTGTAGGTTGTTTGACCTTCAGTTGTGATCATCCCTTAAGCATGTTTCCACAATAGACCAAAATTATGAAATTGTAAAGTAAAAATTTCTCTAAGGCATGAAATATTTGGCAAGGAAAAATACTTCTCTCAAGAGATTATACATGAGTACATGTTTGCCTTTAGGGCTCGAGTAATCTACATGGGCACAGTTCGTTTGACTATTTGGCCCTTACAAAATTTTACCTATCGAGACCCAGTTGACACGAAGTATCTGCCTTGTAACAAAGTTCACATCCGAGGGTGATGCCCCACAATATTCGAGGTTGATTGTAAAAAATCCTCGGATACTATTGAATTGTTCTAAGTTAGCACGAGCAATGGTTTCCTCATTAAAAATCTAGCCGAAAAAACTCATTTGGGACAAAAACCGATCTAAGGAAAAAAGAGTCCAACGCGTGCTTTCAGACCTAAGGACATTGTGATGAAAAATCCTTCGATGTCTTCGATTGAACACCTGCAATTGGTTAGTATAAGATATAAATGAAAATGGAGAACGTCGTACATAGCAGTAATATCGTTTGAGGAGTGATACGTTCCAATTGTTCGGAAATTGCCGCCATCCATCGTGCCAAGTTTGTAGGATCATTTTCTGATGATATCGAGGACCTGATAGAGTCCTCCCAGTTCGGGCCAAGTTTTCCTTCGTTTGGGGCTCGAGTATTGAGGGTGACCTTTCTCATAACTAAGTCCCCGATTTTAAAGTGTCGAAGATTGGCTCTTCGGTTGTAATACCTTTCGATCCGTTGTTTCTGTGCGCCAACGAATTGCTTTCCATTGTCACATACGATCTCGGCAAGCATCCTGAATCGGCATATAATGTGATCCAGATGAAGTCTATGACTTCCTTTTCTCTGACTTTCTCGAATGCTTGTACTTCAACCCACATAGAAAAATAGTCAGTCTAAACAAAATGAATTTAGCTTTACCTAGGGCCGATGGTAGAGGGCCGATGATATCCATTCCCCATTTCATGAACGGCCATGGGGATAGGACTGAGTGGAGTTGCTCTCCGGGTTGGTGAATCATCGGCGCATACCTTTGGCATTTGTCGCATCTTCGAACAAACTCTTTTATATCTTTTTCCATATCAGCCCAATAGTTTCCTGCTCTGATGACTTTGCGAACCCATGACTCGGCACCGGAATGATTTTTGCAAGTGCCCTCGTGAATTTCCCGTAGAACGTAGTCGGTGTCTCCCGGTCCCAAGCATATCGCCAATGGCCCATCGAACAATATCCTATAGAGTGTTCCATCCTGTGCTAATATGAACCGTGCGACCTTCGTGCATAGAGTCCTTGATTCCCTAGGATCCGATGGAAGCTTCCCGTTCTTTAGGTATTCAATATACTTATTCCTCCAATCCCAGGTTAGACTTGTGGAGTTTATTTTGGTATGTCCTTCTTCGATTACTAACCTCGAAAGTTGTACGACAGTCCCCAAGCTAAGTTCGTCGTCTTCGATTGATGACCCCAAATTTGCAAGGGCATCGGCCTCACTATTTTGTTCTCGAGGTACATGCTGTAGGGTCCATTTTTTTAATCGATCTAGAGACACCTATAGTTTATCCAAGTATGTCACGACCCAAAAACCGACCCGGTCGTGATAGCGCCTATCGTGAAACTAGGCCAGCCGACACAACTCCCAAATTAACCATTTAATCAATATTAATCATTTTCAAGTCCTTAAACTCAGATAACTCAAAATGTAAGTCTAAATGAATAGTGAGGAATAAATAAACAAGCCCGACATCGGGGTGTCACTAGTCATGAGCATCTACTACAACTGCCTAACAACATAAAGACCAACATGGCCGGAAAAATCACAAGAATACATAAGGAAGAATAAGGAAGGAGAAAAGCAGGGTTGCGATCGCCAGGCAGCTACCTTGCTAACTCCGATGAACCTGCCACCGAGCTCAGAAATGCCTGAATCTGCACACAAGGTGCAGGGAGTAATGTGAGTACACCAACCCAGTAAGTAATAAAAATAAATAATGACTGAGCAATAAGAATCACGTAAACCACGTCATAGCACCACAGTGGGTATAGTATGTTTCCAAAATAGGATACCAATCAAATTATCTCGTTAAAACTCTGATTTCAGTAAAAATCCTTTGAAAAATATCTTTCTGACAGTTCAGTAGAGGTTCAGCGTAGTTCATAGTGAAAGGGATAAAAATCATAATCGGCCTCTCGGGCAAAACATAGTTCGTATACAGCCCCTCGGCAAAACATAAAGCATATACATCTCAAAACAGGAAAAGTGCTAGAGGAAATAACTAAGCCAAATCAGTGATCAAATTCCGAACATCTCGTAAAAACTCCAGTTTCAATGAAAATTGTTCAAGATATTTTTTTAACATTTTCTATAGAGGCTCAGTATAAAGATGAGTGAAATCGGTAATTTAATTCAACATATTCAATATAGACTCACTTTAAGGAGAAATGAAATCAGTAAATTCATAAAAACAAGCCCCTCGGGCAAAGCATCACTCATATATATATATATATAGCCCCTCGGGCAAGCCTATCAGTCACTCGAGACTCAACTATCATCAATCAGCACTCCCACTCAGCACTCACGCTCAATAGGTACCTTACAATAACCGCTGCGGCGTGCAGCCCTCCATATATCGCTGCGGCGTGCAGCTCGATCCATATATCGCTGCGACGTGCAGCCCAATCCATATATATAGTCGACTACGCTCACTGGGGGTGTGCAGACTCCGGAGGGGCTCCTACAGCCCAAGCGCTATATCGCTGCGGCGTGCAGCCTGATCCAATATATCGTTGCGGCGTGCAGCCCAATCCAATATATCGCTGCGGCGTGCAGCCCGATCCATATATATATCAATATTGCTGCGGCGTGCAGCCCGATCCATAAATATATATAATATTGCTGCGGCGTGCAGCCCGATCCATAAATATATATAATATTGCTGCGACGTGCAGCCCGATCCATAAATATATATAATATTATCCTCACCACCAGGCCCTCAGCCTCTCTCAATCATCAACCTCCCAATCAGACTCTCGGTCCCTCTCAGTCATCAGCCTCACAAGCCACTCGGGCTATCAGTAGAACAGGGTGCTCATCCCAAACAACTTTCATATATTTAAAACAGAGTATTAAAACTGAATCAAAAGTAAACAGGTAAAAATCATGACTGAGGATATGCTTTCAAATCAAACAATGCGAGGAAACAGTAGCAAAAAGCCCCTAAGGGTCCAAACAGTTGGCACGAGGCCCAGACACGGCATTTAGCCCCAAACACAATAATATTTTTCAAAACATAACAAAATCAAGTAGTTTCAAACAAAATACGCGACATAATAGTCGTACGAGATGGACGAAGTCACAATACCCAATGGTGCACGGCCTCACGCTCGTCATCTAGTGTGTACGTCACCTCACAATAGCACAACGATGTGAAATCCGGGGTTCCATACCCTCAGAACAACATTTACAATCATTACTTACCTCTATTCGGTCCAAACTCTAGCCCGTGATGCCTTTGCCTCTCGTCTCGGCCTCAACTCGCGTCGAATCTAACCAAAATCAAAATCATGATATCAAAATATGCTAAGGGAACGAAGCCCATGCAAAAATAATCAAATTACAACACAATTCCCGAAATTTACCAAACCCGGCTCCCGGGCCCACGTCTCGTAATCCAATAAAAATCACATCAATAGAACCCTCATCTTCCCGCGAGTTCATGCATATCAAATACTTCAAAATCCGACCACAAATGGCCCCTCAAATCCCTAGATTAAAGTCCCAAGTTTCCAAGCACTAACTCCCCAATTTAGGCTTCATTTCCCCCAAATTT